TTTTTCTTTTTTTACGAGATTTGTTTTTTTAAATTGTTCGTCCAATTTCGTTTTTATTTAAATACCATAAACTTCCAGCAACTTATAGAAGGAGTGTAAATGATTCGTCTTGGTTATAATATGTATCTTTATATTTTGAATATTTGTTAAGTTTTAAGTTAATTCACAATAAGGTTATCATATGAACACACTAAAATGTGTTGTAAATTTTTTTTTACATGAAACCTGTATACAATAACAAAACAACTACCATACATCGCACCACCTAAATTGAAATTCATTTAAAATTACTGAACTGCATCTAAATTCGTCATGAAATAATTTTATGTAGAAAACAAACACCTTAATATTTTATTTAGGAGCAAGGCATATTTGTTTCTTGGTTAGAATACATCTTGTGATATTAAACAGAATGTGTAAAATCTAGGGCGTTTAAAAAGTTCCTTTTTAGCTTATTTTTCTTACATCTAATACTGTCCACCTGAGATTTACTTTTTTTGACAGAATCCGCTACTGACATTTTAGTTTCGATTTAAACAATTAATGGCAAAATATCAACACGAAATTTCATATCTGACGGATTTTGTAGGAACTTACATTGTTGTATTTATGTACTGTTTGTTAACTTCTTCTTGCAGCTCTTTCAAAGGGTTTATAATGTTTTGATTGTATGAATAGATGATTTTTCGTTTCTTCTTAATTCGTATTATATGTCACTAAACTTGTGTATTATTTCGGTGATTCCGTCATATTACGGAAGTAGTAAATTTAAGACAAATTGTTGTTAATAGAAATTATTATAACCAACGACGAAAAAAGCATCTTACACTTTTCAATGTTGATATGTATATAATATGTTCCATATACCTATCATAATATTAATTTAAATGAATCAATATTTTGACACAATATTGCAAGAGAAAGAAATATCAAAATCAATAGAAATGAAGATTTAAAAAAAAAATTAAACAAGGAAAATGACTGATATCTGTTTACAAATGTTTTTTTTTTTTAAATGTCCAATATCAAATTAACTTTACTAGAATTTAACAACGTTTAAGTAGAAAGGAAAACATGTGAAATAACTGTACAATGGAAGACGTGGTGCGGTATTTAAATTACTTAGATTATTATTATTAACCCCCATAGGTGACTGGTGAATAGAAATATGGTCACTCTTGGTCTTCTCCCTACCAGCAGTAAAACCGTAGCCGAAGGGAGTCGTCGGTTTGACTGTGCGGGATGTACAACTACATTTCAAGCCCTCCTTACATATAAAATTTGTAATAGTATACATTTGTACCACAACATTTGTACCAGTTGTATATATTTAACGTAGAATAGTTATAGTTTTAGATAGTACATTAGAGAACGCAAAGAGCAGTTGTACATATTTTAGTTCATTGATATCAATTGATGAATAAAATTTATTTTGTAAATAGAACATTTTTGATCCAGTATCAAACTCGTAAAGAACCTATTCTAAAATTGAAATAGATACGCTTACCCTGTGTATACGTTACAACTGTAAACGATGACGTTATTTTTGCGTAATTGTTTGCGTTGATCCAAATTATTTGACGAAACGTGTTGAATCGATTAGTAAACTAATTCGAATGACAAGGGAATATAAAATTTGCCAGAAGTGACAAGATATCAAGCAATCAGACGAGATTAAAATACGAACGATAAATTATGCATACAAATAGGTAACGAGTAAAATTGAAAGTATCCGAGATTGAATTAGGAATTTTTTATTAATTAAAAATTTACTAATTGTTAGCTTTTACTTTTTTATTCCTTCATTTTTTACCGTTTATCAATTTCTTCATATGTTGTCAAAGGAAAATGTTTCAGAATTTTTCCTCATCGCCGTGTTGTTTTTATTACAGGACGTTACACCACTACTAACCTTGTGTTACGATAAAACTCTCCTACTAACCAAATATTAAAAATACAGGTTTCCACGTAATCAATTTTAACCAATGATATTCCTAGAAGTGTATAGGATGTTAGATATTAATTTTTTGTTTTAATTTGTACTTGATCGTATATTCTGTATTTACTGTCATCTACAAAATTCTTTCATATAGTCGAGTTTTGGCTGCTGGATCCGATTATTGTCACGTAATTTATTATGTCTGTTTGTCAAAATATTGAAACTATAACCAACTGTGATGCAAGTTGGACATTCAGCTCACTATAACTACCGGTTTTACGTAGTCTAACGTTTCATTTTCTGAGTTTTCATGGACTTGCCCTTTCTAGATTTACCTTGGGGTTCGGTATTTTTCTCCTTTGTTTTTTTTTTCAAACAAATATTTAATTATCAACTTAAGTCAGTTTGATGTACCCCAATTTTTGACGTTTTTACCTATTATGTCTGTTTGTTTAGTTCACACAGTGTTGTCAATATATTGGAATTGTATGCGACTCTCATACAAGTGAGAGGTTTAGCTAGCTAGAAAACCAGGTTTAATTCACTATTTTGTACAGAAGGAATTGCCTGTACCAAGTCAGGAATATGACAGTTGTTTTCCATTAGTTATATGTGTTTGAGCTCTTGTTTTTGCCATTTTTTAAAGGACTTCCCGTTTTTAACTCCTCTTGCAGTTCCGTATTTTTTGTTATTTTACTTTTTTCAAATATACGAGAAAAACTACTCTACAGTTGGTCTAATTCAAAAGGGAATACTACAAATTTCGAACAATCTTTTAGAATACATAAATTCAACGAATTTTTCCTCTTGCATAAATATAAAACATCCATCTATGATTAATCTTTCACACTGAACCCGGTGTAAGCATGACTCCTTTTTTCTTCTTCTAATCATTAACTGAAGTGGACACATTTGTTTAGCATTATTGATTATAAGAATTCAAAGATATATCTTCAAGGCAATACAATATAACAAACATCTTGACATTGACCAACGGTAACTCAATATTATAAAATATAACAAACATCTTGACATTGACCAACGGTAGCTCGATATTATAAAATATAAGCAAAATCTTGACATTAACGAACGGTAGCTCAATATTATAAAATATAACAAACGTCTTGGCATTGACCAACAATAGCTCAATAATATAAAATATAACAAACGTCTTAACATTGACCAACGATAGCTCAATATTATAAAATATAACAAACGTCTTGACATTGACCAACGGTAGCTCAATATTATGAAATATAACAAATATCTTGACATTGACCAACGGTAGTTCAGTATTATAAAATATAACAAACGTCTTGACATTGACCAACGGTAGCTCAAATATTATAAAATATAACAAATATCTTGGCATTGACCAACAATAGCTCAATAATATAAAATATAACAAACGTCTTAACATTGACCAACGATAGCTCAATATTATAAAATATAACAAACGTCTTGACATTGACCAACGGTAGCTCAATATTATAAAATATAACAAATATCTTGACATTGACCAACGGTAGTTCAGTATTATAAAATATAACAAACGTCTTGACATTGACCAACGGTAGCTCAAATATTATAAAATATAACAAATATCTTGACATTGACTAACAGTAGCTCAAGAATATAAAATTTAACAAACATCTTGACATTGACCAACGGTAGCTCAATATTATACGTAGCTCAATATTATAAAATATAACAAACAGCTTGACATTGACCAACGGTAGTTCAAGATCATAAAATATAACAAACATCTTGACATTGACCAACTGTAGCTCAATATTATAAAATATAACAATCATCTTGACATTGACCAACGGTAACTCACGATTATAAAATATAACAAGCATCTTGACATTGACCAACAGTTACTCAATATTATAAAATATAACAAACATCTTGTCATTGACCAACGGTAGCTAAAGATTATAAAATATAGCAATATTCTTGACATTGACCAATGGTAGCTCAAGAATATAAGATATAACAAACATCTTGACATTTACTAACGGTAGCTCAAGATTTTAAAATATAACAAACATCTTGACATTGACCAACGGTAACTCAAGATTATACAATATAACAAGCATCTTGACATTGACCAAAATTTACTCAAGATTATAAAATAGAACAAACATCTTGCCATTGACCAACGGTAGCTCAATAATATAAAATATAACAAACATCTTGACATTGACCAACTGTAGCTCAATATTATAAAATATAACAAACATCTTGACATTGAACAACGGTAACTCAAGATTATAAAATATAACAAGCATCTTGACATTGACCAACAGTTACTCAATATTATAAAATATAACAAACATCTTGTCATTGACCAACGGTCGCTAAAGAATACAAAATATAACAAACATCTTGATATTGACCAACAATAGCTCAAGATTATAAAATATACCAAACATCTTGACATTGACTAACGGTAGCTCAAGATTTTAAAATATAAAAAACATCTTGACATTGACAAACGGTAGCTGAAGATCATAAAATATAACAAACATCTTGACATTGACCAAAGTAATACGTAGCTGAAGGTTCTAAAATATAACAAACATCTTGACATTGACCAAGGGTAGCTCAAGATTATAAAATGTAACACACATCTTGGCATTGACCAACGGAAGATCAAGAATATAAAATGTAACAAACATCTTGACATTGACCAACGGTAACTCAAGATTTTAAAATATAACAAACATCTTGACATTGACAAACGGTAGCTGAAGATCATAAAATAAAACAAACATCTTGACATTGACCAAAGTAATACGTAGCTGAAGGTTCTAAAATATAGCAAACATCTTGACATTGACCAAGGGTAGCTCAAGATTTTAAAATGTAACAAACATTTTGGCATTTACCAACGGTTGATCAAGAATATAAAATGATACAAACATCTTGACATTAACCAACGGTAACTCAAGATTATAAAATATTATAAACCAAAAAGTTGGGTTATTAAGGAATGCAATGTACAGTTAATGATGTAATATCCTAACTCTGGATCTATTTATGTTTATCTTTTTAGATGGCATAAAGGATTTATAACGAACTAAAATGATGGAAATGTTCATCTTACTGATTCTCCTCAAGGTATGTATAGGTTTAATCCTCTAATAATAGAATGTTTTCTTTTCTGTTCTTCCGTCTCGTTGTTTCAGGTTAAAGAGCACGCTTAATGAAGTTTACCATGAAGTTGTCACATTGTCATAAAACTTAATACATATGCTTATTTTTTGGTCGTGTGCCAATTGACGGGTTTAAATCCCGATTTCAATGTTCATATGTGGCCATATGTGGCCTGTTACTAGACAAAATTTCTGTCCTTATCCAAAATATCCTCATTTTCCAGTGGCAGTCTAAATTTCCCCGACGGCCTGTCTTATAGGAACTACCTATTTTATTTATTGTTAATTTGTTCTCGTCCTGAACATGCATGAACTATTTGCCACTGGACGCTAAGCAACCAATTATCAATCAGTCAATCAACTGTTGATATACAGACATGTACTTGTTTCGCCCTTAGTTTAGATCTAATGTGGAGCGTGGTTTAAACAATGTTAATAAGCTTGTAAGTTATACTGCTGCAAGATAATGTATGATAAAGCCTTTAAGATTGATCGTATCCGGGCACTACCTCTGTTTGCATTCTTTAAAGTTAGGAGATGCCACTATGCGGCTACCTCAGGTGTTAACGATAGGTGTTGGTAGAGACGTGGAAGGTATACATCTAATTTTTAATCGGCAAAAAAAATGTTCAACTGGGTAATTTTTCATGTACTCTTTATAACGATATATGTTTATATATATAGTATAAACGGTGTGTCTATGATTTCGATTATATAAATTGTGTCTTCAAAATCTGATTAATAGTTGTAGTTTTAGGACAAATTGTAAGTAAAATTGTGCATGTCTTTGACATGAAATTTGTAAATGATGTCCTTCGAATCGCCTGGCATTGAGAAAATTTGGATTTCCCGGATCGGCCACGAGACAGTGCTTTGTGTATTTTCGATGTTGATGTTTTGAGATATGATAAAAATAGTACTTTGTATACATGCAATGTCGTTATTTTTCTTATTGTAATACAATCAAGAGCTTAGAAGATACAAACAGCGAGCTAGTCAATAAACTTAGGTTTATTGTTGAGTTATTTTTTTTTATAATTAACTATAGAATAGACTTGTAAAGAGAAGACTAAATGAATTATACGTTCAATGGTCTTAATATCATTAACTCCAGCACATAACTAATTTTATACATCAGCTTTCCGGACGATATTATCTCAATAGTTCTAAAGTCCATTTCTCAAATTATATAGTTTCATATTCAAACAGTTCGATTTCTTCAAATGAAGATGAGATTACAAATTTCCACGATTACAACCAAACTGATAAATAATTTATAAAGCAATTTTAGACTTTTTAAATTGTTTTTGGTAATAAATGTTTAACGATTAAGTAATTTTATATTTGATGCGTTTCCCTCAGTTTTAGTTTGTAACCCGGATTTGTTTTTATCTCTATCGATTTATGAGTTTCGAACAGCGGTATACTACTGTTGCCTTTATTTGACATGATATTAACATAATTTTACAGACACTATTCTTATGTTGGAGACTTATATCTGAGATATGATACTTTGTCATGCCTTGCCACAAAGAAAAGTGTTGATGTATGAAATTTCTGTGGTTAAATGTCTCATTATTTTAATCAGGATAACCCAACACGATAAAAACACACCTGTTTATCCAGTTTTAGTATAATATTTATGTTGACTGATTTAATGTCGGTTAACTATTTTTGTTCGTACAACTGATATTAAGAACTCTCTCAAATATTAATATTATAATTAAAGTTATTAAAGCATTAAATGCTTTTTCATAGGAATTATAAAAAAAATCTTTCGGACTCTTACGATAGGTTTGTGAGTCACTTGGTCATGTTTAAACACCCAATAAATTCCTTTAAAAATGCGTTTCATCCTTATAATTCTTTAAATTTGGAGATAAAAAATTGAATGTCCCCACTCGTAACCTCTTTCACGCGTCAATTGTATATTTGAGTCATTGAATTGGCCTGGCGCATGAATATATATTTTGATTAACGGAAAAAAATGTCCTCCATGAAAATTGCTGTCTGAGAAACTATATAATACTAATAAACTACAAATTTATCGTATTATTATTCAAATGAAAAATGTTTTTTGTGTTTATTTTTTAAATTAACGATGAACACGAAGTGAGCAAAAATATATTTAACGTGGAGACAGTTTGAGTTATCTTGTTTACCTTGGTAACAAAAAATAGTTCCGTCAACATCGTCTATCGAAAAGTAAACAAGAGCCACTAACGGAAGTCCTCTCGACCAATCAATTAAACATATTCCCTAATATGCAAATCATATGCAGATTAGTGTCTAACACACATTCACAAAGACAACTATCGCCGCGACATAGCCTTTTTGTGCTAATGCGGCGTAAATCAATCACCAATCAATCAATCATAGACAACTGTTGGACCAGATACTAGCATTTGAAGTATTATACCTATATATGTCATTACCCGAAGATCAATGTCACGTCATCTATATAAGTTTTAATATATCTTTTAATACTACATAATACAAATATAACACATCAACGTTTAGTCATGTCAATGATTTTGCTGAATAAAGGAGCTATCTTCTTTCACTGCAATAAATACATCATGTTAATTAATGTTCATATCAAGGAGTGTGCACTTATTCAAAATTGATAATCACATATAACTTTATTATCATTTGTTGGCATCCCACTTCTTTTTCAATAACAATAAACAGTTGATTTTTTGCAATGCTTTTTTTTTACCATAATTTGATTGATAGTTTGAAATTATTACTTCCTAACAATCCGTAAAGATGGGTGTGTAAATATTTACAACTATGTGTAATGTTAATTTCTAAAGACTTTTATGTAAGCTGCATACTACTAATTGTGATACGAATACAAACATTTTGTATTGGTATACTAGTCCAATATTACAGAATGCACATTTGAAATCTTATTTTAGGCTTGGAATTTACCAACCAAAACCGGTCTCTCACACAATTGATACAAATATGTATTTATTTGATAACCAAGAATTGTTACAAAACATATCATGCTCACCACAAAACAATGACTGGTCAATGTCTTATATATAAAATAATACAATGCTATTGCATTTTTTAAGATATATTTCATAGCATATATGTAAATTTATCTTTTTTAATAACAAACTGTGAGTGTCCTGATGGGTATTACAGAGTAACGAATAACGGACTAAATATTACTGCTGAGAGAAACATGAAAAAACTGGTGCTTAAGTGCTCAAATACAGATTGATTGATGATTGATTATTGGTTACTTAACGTTCAGTGGCAAAAATTTCATCCATGTTCAGGACGAGAACAAGTTAATAATAAATGCATTAGATAAATCTAATGAGGGGCCTTCTGGGATGAGGTTTGGAAATTGAACTGCCACTGGAAAATAATGATTTATTGGATAGGAACAGAAATATTACATTGCAACAGGCCGCCTACTTGTACATCATGCAAATTCAACCGGACGCCCTATTTAGGTAAGTATGTTACTGCCAGTCGGAAGAATACCAAAGCGATCATATTTGTATTCCTCAATTCCCAAGTCACCCTTTGGGACGATTAAATTGTGCACATATACGTAATAGATAACCTGAGTTACGACTGGTCTTTATATTTCCAAATTATGATATATCATTCATATCATACCATTTGGCATTTTATCAGAATAATTCAGTTCCCAGCCTGATAGGTGAATGATCGGTGACGGATGTTTGACTGATCGATGACTGATTGGTGATCGATGACCCATAGAATCCGTCAGATACGTCAAATTAGCTATGTGAGAGTTGCCGTGACAACGGTCAGCGATCGATCAGTAAAGTAATTATATGCACGGATCGGACGGATACGTATATAATTAAAAATTTTATTTAAAACGAACTTCCTAGTATTTACATTCGATAAACGCGGACCTCTACGAAGACACCTTTACTCGTTAATTTGTATTCAACTCGGTCGCAATAACACATAAAAAATATATAAATTACTGTTCACGCATTATACTGTATTACTTATATTCTCTTATTTTGATAGAGAATGCAATCATTTCTTTATTGTTATGGAAGTTATTGACCGCCTTTGGATTTTTGTACTTTTTGTAGTTCAGGATTGGTTGTTTTTCATAAAATTAAAAGAATATCAGAGTTAATATACTAAAATGTTGTTCGCAATGTATAAAATTACTAATTTTCTTCTTATGATAAAAAATATTGCAATGTTATTTGTAACTAGTTATTTCAAAGGGCTCAAGATAAGATTTTTTATAAGAATTTTAATAATGTAAGTAGAATATAATACATAAACTTTTGTTTGTGTTGAATACATTTACAATAGTTTCTCTATTCTAATAGAGATTCTGAACCGCCATTTGATTTCAGTACTTTTTGTAAATCAGGATTAGTTGGTTTTTTTCAAATATTATGCTGTATTTCAGGGAAAAGATACTAAATTTTTGTTCGTGTTTCTTAAAAATGCAAATTTTTCTTCTTTTTTATCAGAAATAATTTAACGTCAATTGCAAACAGTCATAATAAATGCCTTTAGATAAGTAATTTTGTAAAAAATGTGAAAAATTGAACGATAAATATGCATAAACTTTTGTTTTTGTTGAATAAGAATGCAATCATTTCTTTATTTTAATGGAAATTATTGACCGCTATTGGATTTTGTACTTTTTATAGTTCAGGATTGGTTGTTTTTCATAAAATTAAAAGAATATCAGAAAAAATATACAAAAATGTTGTTCGCATTGTTTAAAATTACCAATTTTTCTTTTTATGATAATAAAAATGCAATGTTATTTGTTACTAGTTATTTCAAAGGCCTCGAGATAAGTTTTTTTATAAGAATTTTAATAATGCAAGGAAAATAATACTTAAACTTTTGTTTGTGTTGAATACATATACAATAATTTCTTTATTATGATAGAATCACCATTTGATTTCAGTACCTATTGTACATCAGGATTGG